TGTTTCCTAGGGGAACAAGAGGCTGTGCTTGTCAGCAGAGTTCAGACAGAAGTGGTACCATTGGGCTGGAAGCTCTAGCAAGTATGGCCTGCCTGGCTACAAGTGGCGGGGATTGGGTGATGTTGCCTGTCTTGTTGTTTGGGTGTTTCCTGGAGGAACAGGAGGCTGCACCTGTTGGTAAAGTGAAAACAGAAGCAGGACCATTGGGTCAGAGGCTGGTGGTGAGCTTTGTCTAAGTGATTTGGGGTGGAGCAATCTTACTGCTCCCAGGTACCATGACTGCAGCCTCTGTTGGGGCTATGGCACTGGTGCTGGACTGTTCCACGGTCCAATGCTTCCAGCAGTCCCTGGGGACCTGAGAGTTGCCTCCACAAAACTCTGGGTGTCTCTCTGCATTGGCTTAGAGGTGCAGGGGGTGGGTCAAAGGGATTATCCTGTTCCAAAGCTTGCACAAGTCCCTGTGAGGACTGAATCCCCCAGGGGCTCTCAATCACTTACCCTTTCCCTATGTTCGGGAGCTTCTCCTAGCTCCATGCTGATCTCAGATGGGCCGCCCAGCTTCACTCCACTCTCCTGTCTGTGTCCCCTTGCTGCCTTGATGGATGCTGATGTGGCTTCTTGGAGGATCAAATTGCAAGATCAGTGTTCACTAGTCATTTTGTTTCCTCTCCATGAGAGTAGTGCACATGATCTGCTTCTAGTCTGCCATTTTGACTTAACCCTGTATCCCAAATTTTAAAATTCATCCTGGCACTTAAGTCTGCTCTCAGCAAATGTTTACTGAATAAATAAGTTAACCAGTGCCATAGCTTCATGTAGCCACTTCTATTACTGCATAACAAATTACTTAAAATCATAGAGGCTGAAAATAACAATATTTATTATCTCATCCAACTTCTAAGGGTCAAAAATTTGACTTATATATGGAATCTAAAAGAGTCAAATTTATAGAACTGGAAAGTAGAAGGGTAGTTACCAGGGGCTGGAGGGAGAAGAAAATGGGGAGACATTGGTCAAGGGTACAGCATCTCAGTTACACAAGGTGAATAACTTCTGGAAACATAGTATACAATAATATGACCGTAGTTAACAACAGTATATCGTACACTTGAAATTTGTTAGGAGGATAGATCTTAAGTGTTCTCACTACACACACACACACACACACACACACACACACACGAAAATGGTAATTATGTGAAGTAATGACTATGTTAACCTAATTGTCACGATTATTTCACAATGTATGTGTATATCAAGTCATCAAGGTGATATATAAATCACCTTAAATATATGCAATTGTAACTGTCAATTATAACTCAATAAAGTTGGTGGCAAAAAGAACTTGGTAAAAAAAAAAGTTCTTGGCAAAAAGAACTCGGTGGCTTAACTGAGTGATTGTGGCTCAGGGTCTCTCTTGAGGATGTAATCAAGATGTCAGCCAGGGCTACAGTTATCTGAAGACTTGATTTGGACTGAAGAATCCAATTCTAAGATGACCCACTCATACGGCCTGTAAGTTAATGCCAGCTATTGCTAGGAGATAGCAGTTCCTTGCTAGATGGATTGTTCCATGGGACTGTTTGAATGGTTTCATGACATTGCATCTAGCTTCCCCTAGGGATATTGATCCAACAGAGAACAAGACAGAAGTCAAAATTCTTCTTATGACCTAAACTTGGAAGTCAGACTCTGTCATTTCAACAAAATCATACTAATTAAACAGATTAACCCTTTTTTCTTGTGGGAAGGGACTATACAAAAGTATTAATAACAGTTGATGAGAATCACTGGGGGCCATCTTGGAGACCAGCAGACATACCCCTTTGTGGTTTCAAAACATGTCCACAAGTGCTTTGACTAGTCTCTCTTCCAAAGGTGGAGGTTAATTCTCATTCTTTTGAGTGTGGGCTAGACTTAGTGACTAACTTCCAAACAATACAGTATGGCAAAAGTGACAGTCTGTGACAAAATTATAAAGAGCATTATGTGTTCCTTCATACTCTCTTCTTGGATCTTTTGCACTGGAGAAAGCCAGGTGACACATTGGAGGACATTCAGTCAGCCTATGGAGAGGTCTATGTGGCAAGTAAAAAGGCCTATTTCCAAGAGCCATTCTGAAACTGAGGCTTCCATCCAATGGCCATGAGTAAGCCATCTTTGATATAAATTCTTCAACTCCAGCCAAGTCTTCAAGTAACTACAATTCTCACCAACAGATTAACTGCAACCTTTTGAGACTCTTGGCAAGAATCACCCAACTACATTCTCCTAAACTACTTATTCACAGAAGCTGTGAGATAATAAGAGTGTATATTTTTAAGCCACTAAGCTTTAGTGCCATATTTAATACAGGCCTAGAAAAAATATTTCCCTCCACATATATCCAGATACCATTCTGGAGAGGAACTTGGGGTATCATCTTGATACCATCTTGGGACAGGAATTTGCTTGGGTCATCATTATAGAGAATAATTTGCTTAACCAAATGGGTGGAATTAATAAATCAGACTAAAATTACAGGATAAGTTTAAATGTAATCATTCACAACTTCACTAACTCCCAATGGGCATGAACTTACAAAGATGAACACTTATAAAGAAGATTGGATGAGAGCAACTCTTAGGATAACCAATCAGGATCTGAAGATAAAGTCCAATCAGAGTAGGCCTAGAGGTTTTCCCCCATCCAATCAGAACACAACGTCCAGGACCTCATTTCTGTAACCTCTATATATAATGCACGCTGAGGGTGTGTTCTGCCATTCCAGCCTCTTCTGCCACTGCTTCACTGCTGCTCCATGCCTGACTTAGAGGAGGAGGTGGAGGATGCAACTTGCGGTGCCCGGCCAGGCTCCCTGTGGTTAGTGGTGGCCACCAAGACTGCAGCGTGGTGGGAGTGATAGGAGGCCGCCATGAGCAGAGCTTCTCTGCGTCCCCCTACAGGAGGAGTCAGAAAGGGGAGGCACCTGTTGCATACTGGAGGCTAGAGCCTACAGCCCAGTGGCTCACCTCACTGCAGTTTGTGTTGGTGACAGAGACTGCAGCACGACCAGATTGGTAGGACAGGGGCCTCAGCCTCCTGGGCTCCCGGCTCCTCCTGCCTCGGCCAGAGCTGCTGGGACCCCAGAAGCAGCCACCGCAACGGCCTCTGCACCCATTTCCTGCACAGTCCCTAGACGTGAGAGGTGCTAGGAGAAGGCAGTTGGGCCTCCTGGTCCCAGGTAGCACAGGAGGGTCCTCCGGGGCCTCGCCACAGGCAACCTCCCATGCTCTTGGACAATGAGCAAGAGCCACGGGCCTGGTCATACTCTGAGGACAAAAAGGGGACCCTGAGCCTGGGTGCCGTCCCCCATCAGGTCATGTGAGAATTGTTCCAAATTCGTCTTCGGAGATGAGGAATGGTCTCTACACACATGTGCGGTCAGGGAGGACACGCCAGGGCCAGGAAATGCAAGCACAGGGCTACCAGGATGAGGCTGGGTGTCCCATGAGGCACCCATGCGCCATCCCAGGGCTGGGTGCAGATCCCTCCCAGGGAACTTGGGCCCAGCTCTCCGGGTCTCCGGCGCCACCTGGTGGTCACTTGCTTTTCCTGGTTGTGTCACCCAATCTGGCCTCCAACTCACACTTCGAGAGATCCTCTTGCTTTGGTCTCCCAAAGCAGGAAGCGGGAGGATTGCGGGCTTCAGCCACTGCACGTGGGCTGGACCTATGTATTCTAATTTGTGGATAAGTTTAGGACTGGGGAGAGTTTCCTCATTCGGTATCTTCCTGTGTCCTAAATGACTCTTGATTAGAGTCATGACTATCCCTAGCTGACCCTGCAGATGAGGCAGGAAGGGAGAAGATATGAGGTCCTGGACAGCGAGTCTCCACTCTTCCCCTTCATGTGCTACACACACACATGCACACACACTGCACACATACTGCACACACACACATATGCACACCCTACACGTGCACACTGCATGCACACATATGTACACACACTGAATGCACACACTGCACACACAGGCACAGAAGCAGAGTGTGAGTTCAGAACAGATGGAGCTGTGTCTGCTGTGAAAATACTGAGAAGCATGGATGCTTGGGGAAGAACCCCTTGCCCATAACCCACCTGGTGGCCCAGGTTAACCCCTGGCCCAGCAGAAAAGTCGGCCAACCCCTCCTCCAGTGTCTTTTCTGATTGGCCAGTACATGTAACCAGCCCTGGTGAGAACATGCACACCAAAACCCAAGAGCAACATACCCAAGATACAACACACTCATAAACCCAGGTGCTCATGCAACACACCACATCCAGGGACAGCACAGACACCAGGCATCTCCCTGTCAGTGCCACCTGTCACCACCCAGCCTCTACCCACATTTCCCAGGGACTGCTTCCCAAGGTCCCAGGGTCTTCTACTTTCCATGTGGTCCAGGTAGTCCATTCTCCCCCGTGGAACCAGAGGATCCATAGAACGAGAGGAATTGGGGTGGGTGAGTGTTGGCCTCCAGCCAAGGGACCCCTCAGGAGTGGGGCACAGAAGAGGGGTAATAGGCTGAAGGCTGGAGCTCAATGGGGGTGGCAGGGTCATTGGTCACTCACAGGCTATCCTGGCTCATCATCCTTAGCACCGCAGTCACCCTTAACACTGTACAATCCTGCAGAGATGAAGCAAGGCCAGACTTGTCTGGCATCACCCTAAAACAGCTAAACCTTGCATCCCCTGCATGCCCTGCCATATCTCAGCTTCCCAACATCCAAGCCCATCAATTTGCACAGAGGCCCCCCACCCTGACCCAACCTCTTCATCCCTTCCCCTCCGTAGTGGACTCACACCATTCCCAGCCTCCCCAGGAGACCAGGTTCTGAAACCAAGACCCTAATCCAGAGGGAGAACAAAGTCAGGGTCACAGCCCGTGGGCCCACCCAACTACAGACTCCACAGGCACAAGAGACCCTCTTCCTCTCTACAGGTTCATATGCTCTCTACAGGTTCATATGTCGGCACCTCCTTAGGAAGAGGGTCTCTGCATCCCCATCCCCACCTCAAGCACTGATGCTGTCTAATGCCTTACAGTAGTAGCCACAGGGTATCTCTCACTTTCTCTCTGGACTCCAGATCCCATGCATCCTCCCAGGACACCCCATTCCCAGAGCCTCCCTCCCAGGCATCCCCCCACTCCCAGGCTCCCCACACTCCAAGATCCTCACTCACAGACACCCATATTCCCAGAAACTTGGCTGCCCTGACTCTCCTTTCCCCCCATACTCCCCGTGTGTACCCTGCAGAACAAGTGGAGAGCACAGGGGGTCTTGAAGAACAGGGATGCAGCCCCTGCTTCCAAGACACCTTTAGCCACTCCCTACTGCCCTCGGGGACAATGGGACACACAAAGAAAGTCTAGCCTATAAGGGGAGTCCCCTGGTCCCCTTCCCTTCAAGGACAGGGTGGAAAGGCTCGTTCAGAAGATGGTCGGGAGTGGAGATTCCTGGCCGCAGAGAAGCTCCAACTTAAGGAAGTCACAGGAAAAGAGGGTGGTGCAGCTGAGGGGGGTGAAGGGAATTCTGAAGCTGAAGCAGGGCCCTGGAGCTGTCACTCACCTGACACCTGGCTCACCCTGGATTCCTGGAGATCCTGTCTCTCCTGGCTCCAGCAGCAAAGAGATTGGGGTCAAAAACTTCATTTCCCCCTCACAGACTCCTGGTATTCTCCACATTTTGTTCTCTTTTGTCTCCTCAACAAAAATTGGCAGAAATCCAACTCTCATTCCTCATCCACAAGACTGGTCCCTTCATCCCCTTCACCCCTTTCCCAATTACCTTCTCTCCAGGAGGACCCACGTCCCCAACACCTGTCAGGGGACCTTGTGGATCCTGAAAGAGGAAGAGAAATAGGTGTCATTGCTTTGGGAGGTGGGGTTATTGCAGGGCCAGAGATCCCGATGAGTGCCCCAAGGTCCGGGCCGTGGGACAGTAGAGGCCTCCCAGGGGAAGGGGCTTCTCAGCGGTGAAGAGTGTATGATCTGGGGAAAGGGGGGCAGAGGATCAGACACATTGATCTGAAGGGGCAGGGGCTGGGATGACTCACATCAGTGCCACTGGGTCCAGGTAGTCTTCAGGGGGGAACAGATACACCAGAGCTGGGAAAGGGATGTGAAATGGCACGATGAAGGAGTGTGGATGGAGGAAGAGCAGTCAGGCCAGGGAGGCAGCAGTAGGGTGGGGGCTGGCCAGGTGGGGGTGACCATTTGGGGTCTGGGGTCAGTAGGGGTCACATTCACCATATGACCCACATCTACTGTTTCTCCTTTCTCCCCAGAGGTGCATGGCACATGCTATGCAGGTGCGGAAAGCATGGACCCAGGTGACCGCCCACCCAAAGCACAGCCCTAGACTGATGGGTCCCACTGCCCCTCCACTCAGACCCCACACGGCCCCCAGGCTTCTGCTCCCACTGACCCAGTCCTCAAAACATGTTGCTAGCAGGGTCTGGGACACATAGCACCTCATCCTGACCCTGCCTCTCAGCCTGTCGTCAGCTGCAACTCACCTGTAGGTCCGTGAATCCTTTATTGCCTTTGGCTCCCCACACTCTGGCTCCAAAGTGTCCCTGGGGTCCCTGAGCTCCGGGTTCCCAATCTGCTCCCTGGGGAAGGACACAGATAGACATGGGTCATGGGTCAGGCGTTCTCTATTCACAAACCCCTATAGAGCTGGGTACCAGGTCCAGAGCCCCCACTCCCAAACCCAGCCTCAGGGGCAGAGGGGAACTGAAGGCAGAGCAAAGGCTGCCAGGGCCTCGGGTGGGGCCCAAGGGTTCACTCACCACTGCTCCAGGCTGTTCCATAGACCAGAGTCCAGGGGTCCAGGAGAGCCCTGGGGGAGAGAGGAGAGTCAGAAACACCAAGGCAGGGAGGGACCAGGAGGGGAATGAGGTTAAAGGCCAGGGCGTCAAGGTCATGGACACTTGTTCCCTTTGGTGCCCTTCTTTCTGGGGTTCCTGCACCTCACCGTGGAGGAGAAGGCAAAGGAGATATTAGAGGGAGGAAATGATAGAGCTCAGGGGTCAAGCCCACCTCAGCCCTCTCATGTGGAGAGAAGATTGGCTGGGTTCTCTGGGGTTCTTCTTTTGGTCTCCATCTTCTCCAGCCACACCTGGAGGCCCAGCAGGACCAGGAAGTCACACACGACTCTGCACCCTATCACGGCCAGGCAGACAAATGGGGCCCTTTTCACCCCGTGGGGCAGGAAGGAGGAGTCATGGCCTGGAGGTGACCCTCACCCTCAAACACCCGCAGGAAACCCTTCATAGCCCATCACCCCTCGGCCCACAGACCCCTCCCCAAGATCCCCTCCCCGGGATCCCCGCTCTCACTGCGACACCTGTCTCTTCTGCTGATCCAAGGGGTTCCTGAGGGCCGGGGCACCCTGGTGGGGGGGAATAGGTCCCTTGATCCTGCTGCACCTCAGTCCCTAGTGGGAAACCCTGAGAGCTGAGATGAGTCAGAACCCCAGGAAGGGAGACCCAAGCCCACTCATACTGGGACCCTCAGAGCACAATTCCCAGGAGAAGAGCCTCAAATCAGCTGCTGCGTTCTGGCTGAGTCTAGATTCCCTCTGCCCAGTCCCACAGCACCTGCCTAGATCCGGATGCCACCTCCACCCTGCCTCAACACCCCCTTTCCTGGTTCCCTCCTCCCACTCCCCGGGAACCCCAGGCTCCCTGCAGGGTAAGGGGGCAGCTGGACCTCATTCCCCTTCAAGCTGGGTCCACGCTCTGAAGCAGAGATTTGGGGAAGGTGGAGCTTTACAGAAAAGAGAAGGGTGAGGGCTGGTGAGAGGAGATAGGAGAGATGGGAGTGGGGAGTGGCAAGGAGCAGGGTCAAGGTCAGGGAGGGGGTCAGTCGCTTGGTACTTGGTCCAAGCAGGGCTCTAGGAGTCACACTCACAGCAGTGCCTAGGAGGCCTTTGTCTCCTGGGAAGCCCCTCAGACCAGGAACATCCTTCCCTTGAATCCCATGGTCACCCTAAAAGAAAAGGAGAGGTGAGGAGCCACAGCTATCCATGCTGCCAAATTAAACAGAGAGATTCCTGGGCCCCCTTAAGTCCCTAGCTACCTGTTCCAGACAGGCGAGCCGGGGCAGGGGTGTGTGACTGAGAGAAGAGAGCCAGACAGACTTAACTCCAGGGTCTGGGAGCCGTTCCCTCCTGGGGAGAGACCTAGCTGAGGTCCCATCACTTATGGGGGGCCATGGGGGCTGCTCTCCCCTTGGAAACCCTGAGAGGAAAAGGGGAGCATGCAGTAGGCACTGTGGGGTAGAAGCCTGGGCTCCAGAGGAGGAACAGGGTCACACTGAGCCCCGGCCCATGGGTGTGGGCAGCATCAGGACAGGCTCTGTTCTGCCCAGAGAATGTCTCCGTGGTCCTTCCAGACAGCGTTGGAATTTGACGGGCCCCCTGAGAATTGGTGGCCAGGGGTATCCCTCACCACCTCTCCTCTCTGGCCCGGGTGTCCCGCAGCTTGTCATTCCCAGGGTGCCCTGGAAGGAGTCCAGATGTCAGGTGAACTCTGGGCTGGAAGAAGGGCAGGGAAGGACTCAGGACTGGGTCAGAGCTCAGATGACAACTCACCAGGGGCCCTTTGGGGTCAGAAAATCCATTGAGACCCTGAGATTCAAGGAGACCCTAGAGACAGAGGTGGATAGAGTCAGGAGAATGGGGCAGGTGCTGGGCAGGGGAACTCAGCTTCCTCCCTGGGGTGAGGAAGGAGCCAGCACACCCAGGCTCCCTCATCCTAAGAGTGAATTTTCTCTAACTCTAGTGCTGGGATCCGACGTCACTATGCCTGCAACTCTGACAAGTCCTTCAGGGTCACTGTGATCCAGTTGCTGCCCACCTGCTACCCTCAGCTCCATCTGCCCCAGCACCCACTCTTGCTTCACCAGGACCAGTTTCCCCACAGGTCTCCGGCCCTTTGCCCACGCGGTGCAGCACCCAACTCCCCTGCATACCCCTTCCTCCTGCTGCTCCAGGGCTCATCCTGCCCAGGCAGCTGTGGGGCAGGAGGTTGGGAGCAGTGATTCTGCAGCCCAACCAATGTGGCTCAGCCCCTGCCCTGTCATTTGATGACCCTCTGATGACTTGGCCTGCTTGTGCATCTATCTGCAAAGCCTCACCTGCAAAATAAGACCAGCTACACCCACCTCACAGGATGGAGAGGAGGTCCCGCACAGTGCCTGCATGTGGCAAGTGCAGGAGAAGTCAGCTCTGGAGACCACAGGTCTCGCTGCTGTTGGTGTCTCCCTTCGAGGGGCTGCCGCTGCTCAGTTTGGACGCATGTTCACTCTGCTTGGACCTGTAGCCACTCTGTGCCAAGTCTTCATGACAGTGGCTTTTCCTTGACTTCTATACCCGCCTCAATCCATCGGCAGCCAGGAGGTGCTGTATACAGAGAAAGGAGCATAATGAATACATAGTCATCTTTAATTGACTGGCTGCAGGCACCCCCATGCCCACCCTGACCCCATGTGCCTTCATCCCTAGAGTGCCCAGGCACAGAGCCCTCTCTTGTCATCTCCTCGCCTGTGAGTCCAGGGGGCCCAGGTCTCCAGTCGGTCCAGTGTGTCCCTTTGGCACCCTGGGAGCACTCTGATGCTGCTGCTCCCTGGGGAGCACAGAGGAAGACATCCAAGCCACACCCTTTCTCTGGGGGATCATGGAGGCCATCAAAACCTGATGTTCCCTGTGGAGGAAGCACAGCCAGGGAGGGAGAGGGTGGGAGAGGTGAGCGTTAGGGTCTGGGGATGAAGTCTGAACCTAGAGGAGAAGCAGTCACCAGTGAGGCTGAGTGGGGCTGGTAGATCCCAGGAGCTATTGTGGGACAGGGAACGCCGAAGTGTATGAATAGTGTTGTCATCCATGGCCAGCGTGATGCAGACTGTGGGATTACAGTCCTGCAGGGATCAGGCCCCCAAGGATGCACAGCACTGGGGAGTCCAGGGCCTCCAGGGAATGAACTGGTGCTTGGGGGCTCCAGAGTGAATCATTCGGACATGAAGTTGGGGCCAGTGTGAAGTCTCTACGCATCCTGATATCCTTCACACCTATGTCACCTATGAATCCCAGAGAGTCGTTCTCCCCTGATGGAGGTGAGAGGACCCCCACCAATGAGAGAGGGCTGGGAGTTCTAATGTGGGATTCTGAGAACATGGCTGGAAGGGTGGGCTCAAGAGCTGGAGGGTAGCGTGGGGCAGGCGGGAGTGAGGTGCTGGGAAGCTGGGGACATGGTGCTCACCTCTGCAACCTCATGGTCCTTCAGACTCCAAATTCTATCTCTACCCTGGACTTAGAGGTGAACAGAGGTTGAGTGGTCAGGGGATGGAAGTGGGTTAAAAAGACCAAAATCTTGAGACCCCATGTGCTTCCCTGAACACAGTCCCTTATCCCCAGCCAGGAGGTCGGTTACCTTGACCCTCGAGGTCCTGGGTATCCTAGAGGACCCTGAGGTTCAGATGGACCCTGGAAGAAAGAGGCATTTATAAAGGGGTCTTAGAGCACTCACTGTGGGGGCTCTGAGGTGGGAGAAATGGAAGTAAAAACGCTAGGGTCTGGGTAGGGCTACAGGGCAGCACAGGAGTGTAGAATATTGTCACAGCCACGTGAATGATGAGACAAGAAAATCTCAACAACTTTCAGGCTCCAGGGTCTGGGTGGAGACTTTCTCTGGGGGTGAAGGGCATGGCAGATTTTGATTGTCCTTTCCAGTGAATTGAATGGAAGAGATGTAAAACTACCCAAACGATGAAGCAAAGTGAAGCATTAACAAATCTAGATGCTTGTTTTTTTCTGATTGAAAAACCGTCAGTATTACAGTAAATTTATAGAGAACTTAGTAAGAGTGGAAAGCTTTCCCAGCTTACTGCTCTCAAGGGAACTTTTCTATTTGTGTAAGAAGGATGGATGGGCTTTGGAGCTTCATTTCCTGCTAGTTGACAGGTTTGGGAAGGTTACTTCTTGCACTGAATAGTAGTGATAAATGTGTGAAAAAGTCATAATAGTATCTATTTTCCTGAGTTGCTGAATGATTCTATTATATTCAAAGGGTTCTTATAGTATGCGACCTAGTACTGAAAATTCCCCCCCTTGCCACTAGTATTTAATAAATTATGTTGTTTTAATAAAAAATAACATTAAAAGCATAAGTAGACCTGTGATTTGTTTAAATTTAGTGGAAGAAAAAATTTAAGACTCTTGTTTTTTAATTGGCTTGGCTAGACTTGCAATGCCCATCTATGGAGTGTTAAAGCTACCACCACTGTATCGATTATTCATCTTAGAAGCATCATTAACTAAATCATTATCTCAAAACCTCCCCATGCCTCACTCAATCTTTCTAGTTTTTCATTCATCAATTCTTACACCTGATTGATCAGGAAAGAAAATCTTTTTCTCTATCCTTTTAGGTTCATTCTGTGGGGGCCTGTAGATTAAAATGACAAAAGACAAATTAATGTAAGAATTCA